TATATTATATTATATATAATTAATTTATTAAAATTGTGTACCAAATATCAACAGTTTATTCAAGTTTCAACACTATATAATATGTAAATTGTACATTTAACATGTAGATATTATTTTTTATCATTATTATTTCATATATATCTTTCAGAGAGATGAACGCATATCTCCGTATCTGTAACGGCGCGTAGAGCTCGCTTTGCGCTCCTCAATCTCGGATCGCATAACACGCTCCTTAACGTTACGGCAATGTTGCCATGAGCTGAAAAAAAGAGGCCTGTTATGAATATTTAAATGCACCGCAAGGCGAAAATATACGCGACCGCCGGAGGGTGGGCGTGCTACCTCGCGCCGGTTTATCGATCACGGCGCATCGCACGACGGATAACCCATCGCCGTGGATGCGTCGCGACGCGCTGCGCCGACGCGCGCCTTTACAACCCTTCAAGGTCCTTCCTCCGGATTGTTTCCTTTTTCCTTATTCGGAGTTCAATTTACATTTACAGTCTGGTCTCTTGTCACGCGCGATCTGTCAAAATTATTTTATATTTTTCAATATAATTATTCTATTGAAAAAAAATAATGTATCATCAGGGTGTAAACAAATTTTTAATGTGTCATTACTTGTCATTGATAGTCGCGGTTGCCCGGTTTTCACGCGGATAAATTTCGTCTCGTCGTCGCCTCAGGCCCTGTCGTCTATCCCCCACCGTTGCTGCTGCTCCGTGAAACAGAAGTGAGTATCCGCGACAGGCTCGGCGCGGGGCGAGCGAGAAGATTTTCTCTCGAAGCGTTCGCGGCGGCCGAAAAGCGGCGACGGCGGTCCGACTGGGTGACGAGTTCTGGCAAAATGGCCGCGCGCGATCTACAACAAACGCGATTACGAGCGTATCGCGGCGCGCGTTCGTTTCGATCGACTCTCGTCGCGACGTATCGTCCGCGCGCTACCGCCGATGTCGCGATTCGATGCCGCGACAGCTCCGAACGTCGATCGTCGTCGTCATCGTCGCGACATCCCAGAGCGCGATCGTCGCGAGGATGGTCCTCGCGCGTCGCACGTCACCGAATGCGAATTGATTTTTTCGCCGCGATGAGATGCGCGCCGCGACGATGGCTCCCGCGCCCTTGCCGCGTCTCGCGGCCCTTCGAGAGAGAATCTCCGAGACCAGCGCGTCCTTATCTCATCCATGCGTTTCGAGCGGACGATGCGTGAGCACCTTTGACAGACGACTCTGATAATGCGCGATCAGCTGTCATCGCGCGACTCCGTTCTCTCTTTCTTTCTTTCTATCTCTCTCTCTCTCTCTCTTTCTTTCTCTGTTTCTACCTGTCGATTGAAGAGTTAGCCCGAAACTTCCGCGATATCAATCATCGATGCCGTATCCTCCACATCAATTGAAAAGATTATTCGAGCTATCTTTTTCCTAATTTTCACGTAATATATTCTCCTGTAATATATTATCATAACGATATCAGAGCGATGATTTCTCGAAATATCTTGTCAATTTGTCCGAGTAACTTTACGACCTTAACAAGGCCTACTATTGGAGCTCAATCGAAGTCGTTTCGACCTCGAGGGGTGGTCGATGTCTCCGTCGACGGTCAATGCTTTTCCGGTTTACGGACTCGCCCTACATATGATGTTTTTATCATTTTCTTTTTTCATAATCAGTCATATTTTAAATGCGTTGCGTCAAATTCACAATCCCGGACAAAAGTAATTAATTTTGTATAAAATGTTGACGTCTTGGCTTTTATTTTTGCGTTAACTTCATCTTTTTTACATCGTAACTGCGTTGCCACAACTCGTTTAATTGCACGATTGATTCGTTATATTCTGAATGAATTAACCGTGCAATAATGCGTGACTATAATTAAATCGAGATGATTCGGATAAGAGATTCGGTCTCTGATTTGACACTAATTGTAAATCAAATTTCGCACGCGTTAATTAGTTTGAAGTGTAATTAACACAATACGACAAAATTCGAGCTCGGTCGCGTCGAATTAATAAAAACTTGATCCTTTATCGAATTCGACCTTTTCTATCTTATTCAAACGATCGATCGCCGTTGCAATTAAAACTCTAAAAATATCAAGATATAAACCTTGATATGACCAAGATGTGTACATGATTTTATCGGTGTGTCACGCGATGACAGTTCCTGTAACCGGTTTCCGTTAGACGGGACTCTCTACCGTGAAAGTTTAAGGATCGATTGGAGTGTATGATTTAAAGATAGACTGCTTTCCCTGCGTCGATAGCAGTCTTAATCGATCGGTTGATTTCTATTAACGGATAATATTTTTATGTGTTATCGTGTAAATAGATTGGTCGAGAAAAGCAGCGTAAGACAAATCCAAGTGCGCGTCTCGCGAGGTCAAGAAAGTCGGCAGTCAGTCACCTGGACCGGTGATAACAGAGCGAGCTCCAACGTGAAATCGATCAACGACGGTATAGAAAGCTCGATGATAAAAATTTACGATTGCGTCACGCGTTTGCATGCGATACAGCATATACAGTCACTTTACTATATTTTTTTGCCATATTTAATTGCATATGTAAACGAGTTATTCGCATAAAAGTACAAAAAACTAGAGATGAATCATTACAAATTTATTTCTGAAATGAATTATATGACAAATTTCTCTCTGAAATAAATTATTGAAAATTCAACGTGAGGAATTGGGAAAAATTATTAATTTCTTTATATAAAAGAAAAAAAATCTTTACATAAATGAATAATTTATTGAAAAAATCAGACTGATAATTTTTTTAAAAACTTTATATTATATGTAGTCTGCGAAAAAAAGATTTTCTTAAAAAGAAAAGTAACAGTGTTTTTTCGCGAAGACCTTTCATTTTTCGCCGAGGACCCTTGACCGCTCAGGGTTGAACGGGCAAAGTCCCGAAAGGAATTCCTGCGCGTTATGACGTATTCGCAACAAGGACACCATAAATTATACGTATTTCCCATTTATATGCGGTTACTTTCAACTTTTCATCGGTGTCCCAACCGCGTCGCGTACATTTATACGCAGCGACGCGTGCAGTCCAAGATCCAATTTTTCGAACAAAGTATATTCTAATCTTAAATGATTAATACCATTATTCATATTCATATCAGAAAAATGCATACATTACGATTTTTTTTTCTTCTATTTTCATATATTTTTTCTCGAATATTTATATTTTTTTTATTATTATTATTATTATTATTTCTTATATTTAATACTTTTCAACATAATTATTGTATCGGAAAGAAATTAAAATTTGTCATCAAAGCGTTAAAAATTTGTTATTATAGCGTCATTATTTGACAAGTGTACATATTATAAATGCAAAAATAATCGTATTATCTTAATTATCTGTGTTTTTATTCCGGATTGTTACATCAACTTTTATGGTCTCGAATAATATAATACAGAATCGAAAATTTGTAATGTTTTTCTTTTTTTTTTTTATGTACCAAATATCAACAGTTTATTCAAGTTTCAACACTATATAATATGTAAAATGTACATTTAACATGTAGATATTATTTTTTATCATTATTATTTCATATATATCTTTCAGAGAGATGAACGCATATCTCCGTATCTGTAACGGCGCGTAGAGCTCGCTTTGCGCTCCTCAATCTCGGATCGCATAACACGCTCCTTAACGTTACGGCAATGTTGCCATGAGCTGAAAAAAAGAGGCCTGTTATGAATATTTAAATGCACCGCAAGGCGAAAATATACGCGACCGCCGGAGGGTGGGCGTGCTACCTCGCGCCGGTTTATCGATCACGGCGCATCGCACGACGGATAACCCATCGCCGTGGATGCGTCGCGACGCGCTGCGCCGACGCGCGCCTTTACAACCCTTCAAGGTCCTTCCTCCGGATTGTTTCCTTTTTCCTTATTCGGAGTTCATATATATATATATATATACAGAGAATTAGAAGAGAACTAGAGTTTTTTTCTTTCAAATATTCGTGACAGTCAAGTTACATGGCTCACCCTATCGATTCTTTCTCGGCAAAGAAAAGAAATTCAGATTTAATTTTTTCCACTTTTGCAACAGATAACGCTCGACAATCGATATACTTTGACCTGTCGTTTTGACGTATCGTTTTGCGCCATTAAATTTAGAATTTTCCATACTTTCGATTCGAAATAAAACAATACCGTGACCATGCTCGATCATGCCCTCATAACCGTCCGTATAATCGCCTCGCGATTGCGCGCTTCACTTTTCAAGCCTTCCCTTTCCCTTTCGTGTACCCTTGATGCAGCGCGACGAAAAAAGTGTTATCGATCCGGCAAAATCATGCCGTCTAAGCTTATCACGAAAGCGACCGCTTTCGTGCAGGCGATACGAAGCTCGGTTCCGAAGCGAGCGACATTGATTCCATGCACGCTGATTTCTCCCGCGTCCGACGATGGAAAGTAAAATAAACCACGCGACACATTGATTCAGGCGCGTATTGCGTGCGCGCGCGCGCGTTATACATTATCCTGCGGAAATAATTCGACTCTCACGAGTCCATCGCCGTCTTGAAGTTTCCTTTCCCGCGATAGAAAAATATACAAGACTAACACAATGTATGGCCAAGTCGTACACAATTAGCAAGAATAAAATATGGTAGCGAATGAAAAAGAAGCACTTACTCGCCACAGCAATTTTTTGCTTTTTTTTTTTTAATCGAGTAATTTTGTACAATTGAAAGAAATATTACCGCAAAGTGTGGATTCTGATACATCAGAAGGGAATATATCTACCTCGCTTATATTGATATCGAACGAGGACGAGTTAAAGCTATTGATATATGTAAACTTTGTACACCTATATCTATGACTGACGTGTAATATAATTTTTGTTACAGGCGATGCCGATGACGCGGCACTGAGGTCGTTGAGAGGTGACTGGAAAACCTACTCGCGGCTCCGCGGACTCACCATCGAGGTATCCAGCCCGTTATACATTATCCTGCGGAAATAATTCGACTCTCACGAGTCCATCGCCGTCTTGAAGTTTCCTTTCCCGCGATAGAAAAATATACAAGACTAACACAATGTATGGCCAAGTCGTACACAATTAGCAAGAATAAAATATGGTAGCGAATGAAAAAGAAGCACTTACTCGCCACAGCAATTTTTTGCTTTTTTTTTTTTAATCGAGTAATTTTGTACAATTGAAAGAAATATTACCGCAAAGTGTGGATTCTGATACATCAGAAGGGAATATATCTACCTCGCTTATATTGATATCGAACGAGGACGAGTTAAAGCTATTGATATATGTAAACTTTGTACACCTATATCTATGACTGACGTGTAATATAATTTTTGTTACAGGCGATGCCGATGACGCGGCACTGAGGTCGTTGAGAGGTGACTGGAAAACCTACTCGCGGCTCCGCGGACTCACCATCGAGGTATCCAGCCGGGTCACACACGAGGATCATGAAAATGGTGCTGTCTCAACGTCAGAGGGAGGAGCTGTAAGTCTCCCGATAAAACTTCTTCCTCGTCGATCAGCGCTATTAATTCCAATCTTGACGTTTGCGCGCATTCGGCGCACGCCAGGTTTCCGCTATACTCCTCTGGAAATGCGTTCCACATCGTCTCTTTCTTCCCATCTGCGGAGGTGATACATGCGAAAGCGTGCTGCAGTCTGGAAACGGATCAATCGAGAAAATACGCAAGGCTTCCCCCTCGTATATCTCGCACCACCTACGTATCTATTTATCCACCTACGCTAAAGTTCTCTCGCAGCATTCAATCTGTTTTTTTTTATGTGCTTTGCACAAATAGATGCGCATTGTTTCCATAATCCTTGGAAACTTTTCTTCGCAGATGCATTCCTAGGATGCATGAGGAAGAATTTCTCTCTGAGATCTCGCAGTATTTATTCTATTTATTTATTATTTTATTTTATTATTTTTATATTTATTATATTATATATTTTAGAGTACTTTTGATCAAAAATTTTCTTCTTCTTTTAGATAACTGTGTCGAGGAAATCTTGAAATCCCCTCGAAGTACTTGGTTTAAATTTTATCAGAATCGTTGTTTCATTATTTAAATATTCCGTAAATGTTTATCAACAAATGAAATGTATGCTAGGAATGTCATTACATTGCTATGCGATAATCTTTCGAGCTACCTTGGCATCATTAACTGGCATTGGGTCTTAATGAGCTAACTATGTAATTAGTTCATTCTATTTTGCATAATCGTGGGCGCATAAATCGCGTGGGAGACGCTCTTGAATTTTCCCATGCCTCCAGTCTTCGATTTCACGCAGGAGAGAAACCCGACGCGTATACGTGAATCACTCAAATAAGCGAGTGAATAATGATCCGCGAGAGTTCCTTGGCTCTCGCGAATACGACTGTGTTTCTCTGTCTCGTACTTCCCGTTCATTTCTCTATGAATCATCTTTAAATTAAGGAGCAAGGATATTATTTTAAAATATCGCGGTTTGATCTACATGTATTTATCGCAAACCAAAAGAGGGAACAAAGAAAGAAACAACCAAGCTTCTGTTGTACCGTTTCACCTCCTGATCTCTTTATGTGAGAGACGCTTCTCTCGAAACATCGTCATATCGTCGGTATAATCTTTAAGTTACGCGCCCTCGATTATGAGCGAAGGAAAACATACTCAGTTCCGTCATCATTTGCAAATCAATCGTGAGTAAATATATCCTAAGCCTACTACAATCCGAGATATATTCTCAGCGTCTCAACAAAGCAAATTCCATCCGCGCGGCTTGGAATAAATTAAATCTCGTACTCGCTCACGACGTATCGACTTTGAATGAATTTCGAATGCCGTGACTTTCGCACGGATACAGCCGTTAGAACGAATATTCAAGCTCTACCTTTGTTTTTTCTTTTTTTTTTTCCCCAGAGTGGAACTTGGCTCGAAATCTCTCCCTCGTCTTTCATTTTATTCCCGAATTAGAAAAATTTGCGAGAATTGAAGTAGCAGCGACAGGTAGCAGCATTCCGCCCTTACATTGAAAATTACCTGCTTGCCTCTCGAATCATTCTTTTGCTACTTATCTACCTGCAGCGCGTAACATCTGCTGCCACCATATTGTACGTGTGGGATATAAAATTTCTCACACCGCGCTCTATAAACTTCTTAAGAATTTTTCACCTCTGTCATTATGTAGCTGTACGGATCCCTTCTTAATTTCCCGCAAATTATGTATAATTAACTACACGGATTGTAATATTATAGCGTGTATGACTTTGCCTTACAGCGTTCTAAGTTTAATACATTAAGTATATAAGTTTCTTAAGTTTCATACGAATTTTTTTCCCCCGAAGAGTAAAATTAAGAGAATAAAAGAGTGAAATTATTGTATGATACAGACATCAGTATTTTTTATAGCGTTTAGAACTGTTGTTTATCTTGTGGAGCTTCTAATATTTGATTAAGCTATTGGGGCTTGTTATACTTGTGTCCATGTTAGCTTATTATCGATCGTGCAAAGAAGAGCCAACTCCTAATTTGCGCTGGTATCAAGTAACAGATAATCATATTAGTTTATTCTTATGATCCCAAGTGTTTTATAACATGACACAAATTACACATTATTGTTCAAATTACACATTATTATAAAAATTTTTCTATTGTCTGTCAAAAATTTTACATACGTTAAACAATTCATGTCTTTATTATATCTAATTTAACATACACTGAGGTGCAGAGATATAGTGATTTTTATTATTTGCGTGTTTTGTTGTAATATTTAAATATTTTTATTGCTCCCAAGAAATCTTTTTGAATCATGCCATAAAGTCATAATGACGGATTTTCTTTCATTCATTAGAACGAATGTCAAACCAGTTTAGCACATCGACACGATGATTCAGCGATTGCAATGCTTCTCGTTAAGGCAGGTTCGTTTTTTCCCCTTTTACATACGTTTAGAACGAGTCGCCTCTACACGTCACGCGTTAATCGCAAAACAATGATTGCGAGGCCCCGCGAGCGATAATTTGCCATCACGTGGAGGAAAGTCAGGTGAATAGAGACGAATGGCCGACTCGAGGCCTTTCACCCTGGCATACAAGTTTGCCCGACTTTCAATCTCTTTCCCACGTATCTAACACCTGCCTTACGGCCTCTTCCCCCGTCTTCTATTGTACCGGATCGCAGGTATTATCCGGCGTTTTATCTTTATCTCTACGTCATAAACAGGTAGACGGCAACCGCGAAACAATTGGAGATTAAAGCTATCGCACTACATCTCCCTCTCTTATTCTCTCTTATTTCCACTCGCAGCGGTATACCTGGCGAGAAAGGGTATATGAATAAGAGTGACGCAAACAATAAAGTTTGACGAAATTTACCATTTAACTTTTTTCTCAAAATTTTAATTATTTATTTGGCTAATAAATGAGAAATTTACGGAAAAAAAACAATTATTCTTCCAGAAATAAGGCGATTGCAGATTATCTTAGCACTAATGGCTATCAAGATGCATTGGAGGCATTTAAAAAGGAAGCCGATATGCCAGGAGAAGTGGAGAGGAAGTACGGCGGCCTTTTGGAGAAAAAGTGGACCTCGGTCATACGATTGCAAAAGAAGGTATAAAGTTTCTTTATTTTAAAACAGTTGAAAAATATTTTCTCTCTCTTGACTTTTGACTCTATGTTGTTGTCGCAGAAGAATTTATTTACATTTATTGCGTTAGCCGAGTAGTCTTTTGAATAACGTATAATAATATCGTAGGTAATGGAATTGGAATCTAAACTTTCCGAGGCTGAAAAAGAGTTCATAGAAGGCGCACCGACGCGTGGTAAGAGATCGCCGTCCGAATGGATACCGAGGCCGCCGGAAAAGTTCAGTCTGACCGGACACAGAGCCCCCATCAATAGAGTTATTTTTCATCCCGTTTTTAGTCTCGTAGTATCCGCTAGTGAAGATGCCACTATTAAGGTGAGAGCACATACTCAATTTATATTTATCATATTTTTCGAGGAACATGCATTTTTTTACGCTTATTTTCTATTCTCTCTCTTGAAAGGTATGGGACTTTGAGAGTGGCGATTTCGAAAGAACGCTAAAAGGCCACACCGACAGTGTACAGGACATCGCGTTCGACGCTTCGGGCAAACTGCTCGCTTCCTGTAGCGCAGACATGTCCATCAAGCTGTGGGACTTCCACCAGTCGTTCGCCTGCGTCAAGACCATGCACGGTCACGATCATAACGTCAACTCGGTCGCGTTTATGCCACAAGGTGACTTCGTAGTGAGCGCTTCTAGGGATAAAACTATCAAGATCTGGGAGGTGGCGACGGGCTATTGCGTAAAGACGCTCACCGGGCATAGAGAGTGGGTGAGAATGGCGCGAATTAGTCCGTGCGGCGAACTTATCGCCAGCTGCTCAAACGATCAGACTGTACGAGTATGGCACGTAGCGACGAAAGAGACAAAGGTAATTCGACGAAATATACATTCTCATTCGTTCCTAGATAACCGTAATACAATATTTACATTCATAACAAAATCGATGTCAGGTCGAATTCAGAGAACATGAACATGTGGTCGAGTGCATCGCATGGGCGCCGGAGAGTGCGAGAGCGTCGATCAATGCGGCGGCCGGAGCGGACAACAAGGGCGCGCACGAGGGGCCCTTCCTCGCGTCCGGCTCTCGGGATAAGACGATTCGCGTGTGGGACATCGCCGCCGGGGTGTGCCTCTTCACCCTCATCGGACACGACAACTGGGTGCGATGCATCGTCTTCCATCCTGGCGGCAAGTTTATCGTCAGCGCGTCCGACGATAAAACGCTACGAGTCTGGGATACGCGCAACAAACGAGTGATGAAGACTCTCGAAGCGCACGTTCACTTCTGCACTTCTGTCGGTTTGTATACCTCTTCTTCACGCTTTGTTCTCAATCCGCAAAACACGTTTTATTTATGAGTAATTTTTTATTTCTCTTAGATTTCCTATAGATAGATGAAAAAGTATATTCCTGGTAATATTCTACTCTTCTTCTACTTACAGATTTCCACAAGAATCATCCTTACGTGGTCACCGGGAGCGTCGATCAAACGGTGAAGATCTGGGAGTGCCGCTAGTCACCGAATTTTAGATTTTCCGTCAGACATCGCGAACGGAAGAGAAGGGAAGTATGAAAAAGAGAGAAAAGACGAATGCGCGTCCATTTTAATGGAATCGGCCGAAAGAGTAAGCTGCTACAAAAGCTATCGTACATATGCTATTAATATTAATATTATTATTATTATTATTATACATAAACTACACACATAAACACGTATGATTAAGAACTCTTTAATTAATTTATAATAAAGTATAATTAGTAATTATATTACAATACATCGTTTTACGGCAATGAACTGCACTATTCGAGGAGAGTGAACCGAAAGACGGTCATAAGGTTCAAATGATCAAGAGGACGCTCCCACGAGTTCGCATTACGGATTATCTACGGACGCGGAATGGGTGGAAAGAGGGAAATGGGGAGGGGGGGTATTAATGCCATATACAATTACAAGAGTTATATTCCTTTAGACAGTTGTGCAATTGTAGTAGGCATTATTTTGTACATAATACGTGCCCTTACGCAGCGCGAAATTTGATGTCGATGACGAGTATAACTCCTTTTTTGATTTTCTCTTACTCCTCTCTTCGCAATCCTGCTTATGCAATGTATCTGTTAAAGTATTACCAGCCAATCACATACATAAAGAGAGAGAAAGAGAAAAGAAGAATAGTCCTCCTCGATTATGATCTTGCATAAGAGAAATCGCGTCGAATCTCTTTAGTCCTCTACCGATGGTAGCGAAAATTTCGGCTGTGGCGTCCACCTTCGCGCAAACTACGTACACGACGGTAACTCAATTCATTGTCATTTATATTCGCGCACTCTCCTCGAGAGTTTTCTTAAAAAGAATAAAGAACAAAAAAGATGCTCCGCTCCTTTACTCATAAATATATATATATATATATAATATATGTATAGTTATGCTGATTAAAACAACAAATATAAATAAATAAAGTTACAACAATTTTTTAAACACCTTGTTAGAAAGTTTATAGTCATTTTGGATTACATTATTTTCTCGAGTCGCGACACATTTCGAATTACGAACGACAAATTAGCATATAAAGACAAATTAAGATGATTTTTCCTCAGCAAAAATATCGAGGCATCAATAATTTTCGTGTTATAAGCGATTAAAAAAGAAGGGCTTTTTGTAAACTAAACTTTATAGAGAGATAAAATTACTTTCCTTAGTTAATTTCAGATAGAATTTACTTTAATAAAGAGACAGAATTTTAATTTAAGGCTTAGTTAGAAATAAAGATATATGATGGAAAAAATTGGAAACTTGCAAAAAATGATGATCTCTCTCGACATTTTCGCTGAGGAAAAGTCGTCTTCAAATGATCTCGAGAATTTACTCTTAAGCGTTGTTACGGTCTTTATGGGACACCTTATATACATAATATATATATATATATATATAAACATATTACACGCATGTATAGACGCGCATTGCTTTGTACCATGCAAAATATCGAGCGTCAAATGTCTCGTCTAATGTCGACTCGCGCGTGTATTTGGATAGATATTGAGTTGTTGTATATCACTCATCTGCCGCATTGATAAAAATTTATTTTACGGGACACGTAACGCGCGTAACATCGTAAACGATATACACAAATAAGATGACAATGGTATAAATAAAAAAAATAATATGCCAAAACTCTGTCTCTCAACCGGATAAATAAATATATTGTTACATGTCTATATGTATAAAACGGATTTTTTTCGCCGAAATGCGTGTCCCTATAATGTGAATTCTATTATACTACATACAATGTATTACATACATTTACGTATAATCGAATCTTATAGAGTCAAAAAATGTCAAACCGATTGAAGGCTTTGCAAACGTATATATACGCAGTGTTAAATTTTTATTTCTTTTCTCAAATAAAACATATACTTGTAGAGAATCGGGTGATTCTTATCTAATGAGACTTGAAGAATAATTGAGACGAAGAATGGCGACAATGAAAAATAGACTTGTATATTTGACGTCCAAATTCACTATATCTTATTAATAATGTTACAAAAGATGCACAGCCGAATCTAGAGAATCCAACAATTAAAATTAAAAAATGTTCAAGTAAAACAGAGAGAAGAGATGGAAAAAGATTTAATATAACGCATAATGCATATAAAAATTTGGCAGCACATTATTCATTGCGTGGATCCCGAGAAAGAGGTGTGTATTAGTACTAGTTGTATCTTTTAGTTTTAACTACTATTAGTGATAGCGCGCAGACATAATTTAGACGGTAGAAGGAAAATAAGAGAATAAACTTCAGAGAGATACAAAGTTAACAGTTCATCGACCACACCACATCATATAGACACGCACGCATACGACAAAGCGTCCAATTTTCGGATATTCGATAAAAAGAAATAATCACACACGTATATGAAACGTGTAAATCATTAATCGATAATCGCTTAATTAAGATTGATTTTTCAAACATTTAATTATTGTCTGCTATCTTTTCCTACTGTTTCTCCCATGTTCAGCTTTCAGAGCCGAATATAAGAAAAATACAAACCCCTGAGAAGAAATACCTCCTCAATTAATGTGGTACTAAATTATTTTGATGAATAATAAACAGAATTGTCACTATAAGACGTGTGAGATCGTTATATGCTATATATCATCACCTATAATTCGCATATTGATTTTTAGAACCGGCATTTCCTTTTCTACATGCAGATTTCTCGTATTAATCTGCGTATGGTAATTGAATGCGTAATATTTCTGTTAATTTTCTATTAGAATTTCTGTAGTCCTCATCGAGTAGTAGACTTAAGAATTTTCCCAACTCTGCAATATATATTAATCTACACGCATGGCAGTATTTTATATAGTACAATAGGGCAAGAATTAGAGCAATGTAGTATTAATGTAAGTTAAACGCATACCAAACATCTATTGTGCGTGTTTATACGTAGAGATGATGTAATTTAAAAAGTTATGTATATCTGTCGCGCCTTTCATAAGATTCACGATAGCTTCTGTGACTTGCTTTCTACCTGCTTGGGAGTTGATGATACCAACAAGTAGATTTACAATAAAGTACCCTTCGTCATTTGTGATATACACGATTGGCAAACATTTATTGAGATCCTATAAAAAGCAGAAAGCTACAAGCCCCTCGTCGAAGAATATCTTTTACAAAGATTGAAACAACTTGCAATAATATGTATTAATACTGATTTCTTAAATTTGAATAATTTGTAAGTATCTTTTATATCAAAAGATTGTGCAACTTTTAATTAATATAATTTCAAGGATAGAAAAGATAAAATCTCATTATCTAAGAAATCATATTTATTTGGTTACACTAATATAATTCCCCTCTCTCCTCTCAATCAATTAAAATTATTGTGTTATATATAAGCTTAGATATTAAATATATTAAAAAAATTATTCTGAACTTAATCCGGTTTTAATTGATTGGAGAAATATTATCATAATATGTGAGAGGACATATATATATGTGTGTGTATAATAATATGATATATAATACAAAATTTTTTTAATTTGAAAAAAGCTGTTGATAATAAAGATTTACATAGTATCCACGATAGGTAACATCGGTAGTTTATTTATCGATATAAGATTATACTAAAGGACATTTGTGTTGCCGCGCATTTTCACGCATGCGTGGTGACAATATTTATAGGTTTGTTCTTTGTTGAACTTGAACAGAATAAAATGAGATAGATATATATATTTAGAAATTTGAGAGAAAGAAAAAGAAAAAGCAAAAAGTGGAAGAAGTTCAGCCACAAAGAGCAAAACCTCGTATAATGTAAAAATGATATGCGATGCAGATCGCAGATTATTAACAGATTATGAACGAGAAGACACACGAAAATCTTGGCGGTTAAAAGTCCGAACGATTAGGAGCTAAGTAAGTATCGCTAATTAAGTTTCTTAAAAGTAATTTAATCTGTATCTCAAATTCGAAAGAAGCCATTCGAAAAACAGACAAAAATTCATGGTTAGAAATTATTCTTGAAGAATGGATTTTTGCCGTTCGTCCTGTATACGAAATAGAGCCTTTTGCGTTTCGTGCGATAATATATCATCGGATGTTATAACATTTTTATCGATTTTCTAAAATACTCTCAGATATATATTTCTTAGAAACTTTTAAACAAAGTGCGGCATCCGTTTTTTTATGAAATGTAATACTTTATTAGGGAGAAGTGGGATACTTAATTAGACTCACATGGCACGTGCAATGTTGGGAGATGAAAACAAATCTCAACAAGACCGATGCACGTGAGTTGTCAATGAATACGTGATTAAATTATTAAGATTGAGATCACTTAAATTTAAAAAACACTTCTTTATTACGATTTATGTTAATAATGTGTAACAAGTATTTAATGCTATATATTAAAGATGTAGCGTTAATATTTTCTATTTCTTTTTCGCAAGAATTCTAATGACATTCTTCATTGCAACAAAATATATACATGCACGAAATTTGTCTTTGTCTCTTTATCTCCCAATACTGTGCACGTGTGCGAAAGAAAACATTGTCTATCGTCATTATAATTTTTCGAAACTGTTTGAAACAAGTTGTACGAATTCACTCCTGAGTAAGTTTCTTTTAATTTCTAAGAAACATTTTCCGTGATGGCGCACACTTAAGCTCTTTTTGTTTATTTAAATTTGTGTATTTTAATTAGAGCAAATTATCATCTTCGTATTCCGGCGACTCTTGAATAATAAATCTTCCGCTTTTCCTCGCGACGAAAATACGCACAAAGCAGAATGGCATCGCAAGAACAGATCCCATGCAGTCTGCCTGACACTCAAAATGCAGATGCTTTAACACAATCGCAAGGAGTGTTGAGCCAAGAACCAACGTTAGTTGTCTGGGGAAGACTTTGTCCCAACATAATATTGTCCAGACATGCATCTTTGAAGAGTATAGGTAAGGGTTGTATATCTCTTGTATGCAGATAGAAATAACACGTCTAACAATGAAACATCAAGGGAAATATTGTTTTATTTTACAGAAATGGTAAAAGAATCTTATACGTTAGGACGCTCCCCAAGCTGCGACATTACTCTTACTACGAATGAAATGCAGTTGAAATGGCTGAATGCAATCAGCAAAGTACATTTTCGTATAATCAGAGAACATATTAATAACGAATTTGTGATATACCTTGAAGATATGAGTTACAATGGAACGTTTGTTGACAAGGTCAAAGTTGGTCGTGGAAATCGCGTCATTATTACAAATAATTCTGAAATAGCTGTAGCTAGGACAAACCTTTCAAGTAACTGCACTTTGTAACAGAATTTCTATTGTAAAAATTATTATACAGATAAAACAAATTACAATTTTTCATAATTTTTACAGTTTATGTATTTATGAGCACTATGTCTGACAATAGTTGTGAATTACCATTGCAACTAAAGCAGAAGTATTCGCTCGGACGTAAGTTAGGAGCTGGTGCCTGCGGTGAAGTAAGACTGCTATTTTCAAAAGATGGTTCTAAACGATTTGCTGTCAAAATTATACAGATGAATAATGTGAGCCATGAACAAGCTTGTTTTAATAATCCTAGTAATATCAGAAATGAAGTTGAAATATTAAAGAAGTTGAGGCATGTAAGTTATACTTATGTCATGTTTATTTATATCTTCATAATTTAAATATTGATAGAAAAAAAAAGATTTCTATTTTAGTCTTGTATCATCCAAATGGAAGATATCTATGATACGCCATCAACAATGTATATTATTCTTGAATTGATGGAAGGCGGAGAACTATTTGATAAAATAAGAAGTAAAGGTAAATTATCAGAATCATGCGCAAAACTGATATTCTATCAAGTTGTACTTGCTGTTCATTATCTTCATAAGCAAGGCATCACACACAGAGACTTGAAGGTATTGTTTAGGATATATTGTTTCTTTAACATTTTATTGATATATTAATCTTATTGTATAATGGATATGAATAAATTTACATAGCCAGAGAATATACTACTGAAGAACGATTCTGACAGACCTTTAGTCAAAGTATCAGATTTTGGCTTGTCAAAGATAGTAGATGCCAGGACTATGATGAAAACATTTTGTGGGACTCCTATGTATGTTGCTCCTGAAATTCTGGCGAACTTAGGACAAAGCTCTTATACAAATCAAGTATGTATTTACATTTTCCTAATGAAGAATAATTGTGACAAATTATGAGTATCTTATTTATCGTATCGAAATTCTCTCAGGTTGATGTTTGGAGTTTAGGGGTGATATTGTATGCTTGTTTAAGTGGTACAGTTCCCTTTAATGTTCAAAATCAAACTATCACTTTAGAGCAACAGATAAAACATGGAAAGTACGAATTTCCATCATCGCGCTTTGCGCATGTATCGTATAATGCAATAGAGCTGGTATGTAATAATAACAATTATATTTACATTAGTTGCGATCAATTTTACAATTATTATAATTGAATATTGCGCGTTATTTTCCAGATCAAACGTATGATGACAGTGGATCCGATAAAACGTATAACGGTGACAAGAATCATGTTACATCCCTGGTTAAGAGATCCATGTATGCGAGAAGAAGTGAACACGCTAATATCACACGTGGAGACTGATGAGAATGCGCCTCCTTTGAACGTCTTGATAAATCGCCATGAGGCTGATCCAGAAAGTATAATAAAACGTGCACGGCTTGTAGCGTGAGAGAATATATTTGAAAGTTTACAACAAGAATATGTCAAACATCAGTTTCTCGCGAGTAAAGAAGTACAAAAAACAATATTTAATATTCTCTTTACGGGGTCTGGCGTCTCGTTAAATCTCGTGATTGCGGTTATACTAGGCATTGATGTTACCTACTTATTAAATAGAGTGATTTTTGTTCAAATCGGTCTGATTACCGTAATGATCTCACATAGAATACAAAGTAGATATTTAAGGATTTTCATTCCGTTTAGTTGTACTATCTACTGTTAAATATGACTGTGATCAATTTTGATATTGAAATCATGAAAGAGAAATCAATGAAATAGAAATGTAAGATAACGAAATAACTAAAAAGTTGAATAAGATACATATTTTTCGCGATATATTTATATTTTTTTATATTTTGACGTATCTCAAATTAATGAGTACAATATCTTTCAGATTTGTGATTTAACTATAACACAGAGTACCTTTTGTGTATAAAATAGATATATAACATGAACTGTGAAAATTGTTCTGTGACTAGTATTATATATATATAAGTACTGATTTACCTATTAAATAAAATTTTCGTTTAGAAAATTGTAAGGTCTTTAGAGTAACAAAAAAAAAAAGTAAAGACATTTCATATATCCGTTTAGTGCCGCGAAAAATGTAGATTTAATGCTGAAATATAATTATCGCTACGGATTTAAATTATTTTTCGTATAATAACAAAATACTTTATTATCGCGTTATAAAAATGTGAGGCTCTTTATTCAAAATAATGGACAGCACTATACAATAAAAGGAAGCGAACAAACATCTTTAATTATTTATTTCTTTTACTCCTTTCTGCAGGGATATTCCTCTTCGCCGTGGCAGGGATTTGGAAGCGTTGTCTCGAGGTCTGGTTTCTCTTTCTTCATAAGTCCTGCTAGTAGACGTTTCAGCTGCGCTATCGCTTTTCCCGGATTTAGACCCTGTCAGATAAAGATATCGACCAATGCATAGAATTAATCTAAATATTTTATCTTTTTTCTTTTTGGAAAAACTAGGAACTCTTAGGAAAGTATAATTGTTATTTGTATTGCAAAAAGATGATAATGAGTAATGATGTTTACTCACCTTTGGACATGTCTTGGTACAATTAAAGATTGTTTTGCATCGATAAACCGAATAAAAATCTCGTAGCTTCGCCAGCCTCTCTTTATGTGCCATATCTCGTGAGTCTATCACCCATCTGTATGCCTAGTATACGTATACGTGTATCGGTGTCTCGTGGAAAAATTATCTCGATGTCACATTTATTTCTATAAGTTACCTGCAATAGAACCGCAGGTCCCAGATACTTATCGCCGAGCCACCAATAAGGGGGACACGAATACGTGCAACACGCGCACATTATGCATTCGTACAAGCCGTCGAGCTTGCGCCTATCCCTCGGACTCTGCAAGATCTGCCGCAGACCGAGAAAACTGTCCTCGCCCGGCCGCTTTAAATACGGATCGATTAACCGGAATTGTTCCAGGAACTGTTCCATGTCCGGCACCAAGTCCCGAATCACGTACGCATGTGGTAGAGGATAGATTACCAGCGGCTTCGGAGATTCTTTCACTTTTCTAATAATCCACAGATAGTTTCGTATGTATTATTTATCTTAGAAATAATTTCTTTTTTATTTCAATAAAAAGACTACAAGTAAGTAGTTTTTATAGAGAAACATGTATATATATAATACATAAAATATTGACATATAATGCCTCTTCTTTCAGATATTCGCATCTCCAAAATCCCAAGTTTTCGGATCACAAATATTTAAATCATCGAAGATTCAAATACATAGGATTCTCGAGAGAAGATATCCGGAAAATCCTCAAAATGTCTCTTATATTGAGTATATTGACAAAAATTATAGAACGACGATTGTTACGTTATGCAAGCCAAGGTATTGACACCGTCTATGTTCATCGCGCAACATCCGCAGATGCCCTCGCGGCAGGACCTCCGATAGGACAGCGTCGGATCATGCTGCGCCTTGATCAATCCTAGCACGTCCAGCACCATTGTGCCGCATTTGTTCAGATCTACGCTGAACTGCTGCATGTATGGCTTTACTTGCGGCGTTTCCGGATTCCATCGGTATACGCGAACAGTTTGTAGTCTTGGCCCGAGCTTTGCCGCCTGCGAAAGAACGATCGTAAATAACAGATCGCCTCTAAGCTTGCGCATTGGTCTCTTTCCAATAAAGGTTTGTTAAGAGACTTGTAGAGATTCTCTTTTTATACCGTAATGTATTGAGCATTTAAGAATTTCACAATCAATATATACGCCAGGTTATACTAAATAAATCTTAGACACTTCGGCCATAATGAGACCATAATTTGTCAATGAGAAACAGACATTTAATAGAAGATTTCATTGTTTAGGAATATAAAATACTATTATAATGTAATAGAAAATAATATTTGAGAAATTCTTTGAAGGGAAGAATTTTTCCTGTAAATTGGGGGAGAGGATCTTTTTTATATAGTTTATATTTTCTCGTATACGTTGAAGCGTAGGACTAACTGTTGGAAGCGTTTTGCATGCTGCGATACCCGCAACTTCGGCCGCTACAGCCGCTTCTACCTCGGACGATTGTGTCTTACTGGCCGATGTCGATGACAACCTCGATCCGCGAAGTCGACGCGCGAGTCCGCGCGACCAAAGCCGGCCCGTGAATCCGCTGTGGTTCACGGCGGCAAACATGACCACCCTTGTCACAGCGATCTACTCTCGTCGTCGCCTCCACGATATTATCTCAAGGACGATACCTTATTCGTGATATCGCGTCGCGCAATTTTGATCATTACGTATATCCTGAAGAAATGCGAATGCCACACGAACAAAATATCATCGAGCGGACAAACTTCATGGACGGTTCGCGACAGATTTATGTCATCAGCGTGATCGATTTATATATCTGTAGTTTCGATAAAGTTTAAATCGAAATTCATTTATTATTTTTATATAGGATCTTTTTCGAAAAAGGGCTCAAGATATTTATCTTTAATATATATAATAAAATACTTCATATTTTTTATCAATTACTTCGATACATTTTTTATAAGACGCGTATTTTAATCGTTTATTTGTAAAATAAATCTTTAATTGTTTATCGCGCGTTAAAAAATTCTTGTTATGATTAATTAGTCGTCGCAAATCATCGATTTTCAAAGTTGTTTTCAATTTAACGAAAGAATTTAGATTGTGTCCTCGAGGAAAATGCAGTTGTAACAAACAAGTTACAACAACCGTGCGATAAGAATGACGCGCATGACCTCACAATCACCAAGTAATCTCAAAATAATTTCGTCATCGAACATCATACTGAGCTCCCCCGCAACGCAATAATATATTCGGATAAAAATTTAATAACTGAAATAACACGTGCCAAAGCTATATTTTACATCTTTCTTATTCCTTTCGTGGGGGTAAGCTTGAGAGAGCTCTCAAATTTTTATCAGTTGACTTAACATGTAAAAAAAAGAAGTAAGGGAGGGACATCCAAAAAGTAAAGAGATACAAATGCACTTATAATTTTACTTATAATTTTATTTTATTATTTTTTATGACTTTTTATCACAGACTTATTCTATATGTATATAAGTGTCTGTGGATTTTATAAAATATTTATTAATAAATCTAATAATAAAAGCTATATACATCTGTTTAATTTTCAACATATCATCTGTCCACAAATATTTATCGAATCTCGGAACAAAGTTCTTGACAACTCTGGTGATTATGTTGAAAAATATACATATGTGTATAAAAGAATGTTTATCACTCTAGATTTCTTAATAAGTATTTTATGAGGACATATATAATTGCATTTGTAGTTTGTATCTTTACTTTATGGATATCTTTATATACATATGAAAAAAAGAAATAATGATTTCGAATATTTTTGTTGAATACATAGGCGTTTTTTATATTATTATTACGTCATGATATATACGTATACGATAACGTAAATGCGTGTTATTACGAATTAATCCCCGCGAATCACAGCGGAGCCTCTTCCATCGCGTAGGGCAGGCGATTGACGATGCATTATTTCATCGCCTTTGATGAAAGTAGTCACGCGAGCGCGTTCGTGATCTTCCGACCACCTGTGGCATCTCACGTTTCGTTCGAAGACACGTGCGTGATTAAAAAAATTTCTAGCAATCTTTCCGATTGATATTTTTATTCTAACGCAGACCGAAGAAAAAAGTAAATCATAAAGTAAATCAAACGCGCCGGCCTTGTAATGTAAGTAATAGAATTTACAAAATATTTTTATCTCGAAAAATATGAAGTTTAGATATTATGAGTGTATTACATTTGTCAGTGTTTCTCGTAATGACAAAAATAATTGTATATATAAATATTTATGAATAATTAATGAATTATGACAAATAAACAAGTAATTTATATATGCAAATATTTGTGTAACTATTAGGGTTTAAATGTGTAAATCTTTCATTTTTGCAGATGATGCAGCACAGAGTTCTGGTGATTGGCAGCGGTGGCAGAGAGCACGCCATTTGTTGGAAATTGTCTCAATCAACACATGTAAGTGAATCGATGAAAATTGTAAGGATGATTAAGTGTAGAAATTAAAATAACATGCATTCTATTTGATATAGGTGACAGAAATCTTAGTTGCTCCTGGGAATGCTGGCATCAAACAAGTGGATAAAGTACAATTAGTTGACTTAAATATTAAGGATACTAAGGTATATGCATATTGTGTCTCTATATATGTATATATTTATTGTAATTTTTCTTAGAGTTAATTTTTTTATATATAATATCAATTATATCATATTCTTCTCACAGAAAATTGCCAAATGGAGCAAAGACAATAATGTTTATCTTGTCGTGGTTGGACCAGAGGATCCCCTGGCTCAAGGATTAGCGGATGATCTAAGGGATATGGGGGTGAGATGTTTTGGACCACAGAAGCAAGCGGCCCAGATTGAAGCTAATAAAGATTGGGCAAAGCAATTTATGAACAGGAATAATATTCCTACTGCTAGATGGCAAAGCTTTACATCCGCAGCAGATGCAAAGAATTTTGTTAAAGCGTAAGTAAAGAATCTCTCAAAGAGAGATATTTTAATAAAACAAAAACCTATGATACTTTCCTTGATTATAGTGCATCCTTTAAGGCACTTGTCGTGAAAGCCTCGGGTTTGGCAGCCGGTAAAGGTGTCGTGGTAGCCAAAGACCAACAAGAAGCTTGTCATGCAATAGATGAGATTTTAAACGATAAGAAATTTGGAATTGCTGGCGAGACTGTTGTTGTTGAGGAACTCTTGGAGGGCGAAGAAGTATCTGTACTCGCATTTACAGATGGTAAATAAAATTTTATTTAAAACCACATTTAAAATTTTATTACACTAATAATATTTTTAATGGAATATGTTTAAAAGTCTTTCTTTAAACTTTATTGATGCTTAGGCAAGACTGTCGTACCTATGATGCCTGCGCAAGATCACAAAAGAATCTTTAATGAAGATGCTGGTCCAAATACAGGTGGAATGGGTGCATATTGCCCATGTCCGCTGCTAAGTGAAACTGAATACGAACAGGTGAAAGTAAATGTTCTCCAGAGAACTGTGGATGGACTTAGAAGAGAAAATATTCCGTTTGTCGGTTTGTTATTTTTTATCGACAATGATATATATTAGATATTATACGTATATAATTTATATAAAATGTAAATATTATAGGTGTGTTATATGCTGGCTTAATGCTGACTGAGGATGGTCCAAAAGTCTTAGAATTTAATTGCAGATTCGGGGATCCTGAAACAGAGGTTCTATTACCACTATTGACATCAGACCTGTTTACGATTATGAAGGTTTAATATTAATTAATATTTATATATATATACATATACGTATACAATATTTCATTTTTCTGCATTACTACAACATATCTATAATTATAGGCTTGCTGCGATGAAACTTTAAACGCGTCTCTTGTTTCGTGGCGAGAGAATGTATCTGCCGTGGGTGTGATTTTAGCATCTTGCGGCTATCCGGCATCTTCGTCCAAGGGTCAAGTTATAAAAGGCATCGCCGAAGTAACACATAAACAGGACTGTTTTGTCTTTCATTGCGGCACTGCCGTTTCATCGGAAGGCGAATTAATAACTAACGGTAATCATAATATGGAAAAAAATATCTAAACAAACATTTTTAAATAATTATAATGTATTATCTTTTACAGGTGGAAGAGTCCTTATCACTGTCAATGTAGCGTCTACTTTAGCGATGGCAACAGCTACAGCCACCCAAGCTGCTCGGCATGTATCGTTTGACGGAAAACAATTCAGAACAGACATTGCGCACAAAGGAATTGCTAGGTATATAACATTCGATTGACTCTTACATCATGAAAATAGATGATAATATTTGAATTAATATTTGATTAATGAGATTAACAGTCAAACGCTTCAGATCTATTTTGCAGAAGGGAAATTTAACGTATAAAATTAGCGGCGTGAATATTGACGCTGGCGATCATCTTGTATCCGTCATTAAACCAGCTACTTGCTCCACGAAACGCGCTGGTGTTCTGGGCACTATAGGAGGGTTCGGAGGTCTCTTTGATGTAAAAGCCGCAGGTTACAACGATCCTATTCTGGTGTCCGGTACCGATGGTGTCGGCACCAAATTGAAGGTGAATCTCTCACAAGTGTAAATAAAATTATTATTAGAATTGACCCATTGTTATATTAATAAGTAATAATCTTTTCTCTATAGATAGCAATCGAATACGATAAACACGACACAGTAGGCATAGACTTGGTTGCCATGTGCGTGAACGATGTCCTCGCGCACAACGCGGAGCCGTTGTTTTTCCTGGATTACTTTGCTTGCGGCAAACTGGATGTTGGAATAGCCGCAAGGGTCGTAAACGGAATAACCGAAGGTTGCAAGCAAGCAGGATGTTCCTTGGTAACGTTCAGCATACAATTTAGGCAGAAATCTTTTGGATAGGAGTTATGTGTACATCTATTCAATTTAATTTTCTCGCGATTATATTCATATCTTCCAGATTGGTGGAGAAACGGCTGAAATGCCCGACATGTACCGCGAAGGAGAATACGATTTGGCTGGCTTTGCGGTGGGCGCCGTTGAAAAGGGCAACTTGCTGCCGCGAGTAGACGATATTGAGGAGAGTGATGTGGTGATAGGTCTTCCGTCCAGCGGCGTACACAGCAACGGCTTCAGCTTGGTGCGAAAAGTCTTGAAACTCGCCGATAAAAGTTATTCCGATGTCGCACCTTTCTCAAAAAGCAGTCGAACTATTGGTACGAAACACAATTTTTAAGCCACAAGATTTCTTTTAATAATATTAAGTTTATATATCGTAAGATAGCGTGCAACAAAAGGTACATGTTGCAGGCGAGGAATTGTTGGAACCAACAAAGATTTATGTAAAAAGCGTCGTTCCCGCTTTACGAACAAATCTAGTGAAAGGATTCGCGCATATCACTGGCGGTGGTCTTGTAGAAAATATACCTAGAATTTTACCGAGTCACTTGGGTGTAATGTTAGACGCAACCAAATGGAATATTTTACCAATCTTTGGCTGGTTAGCGGCGATAGGTAAATATATTATTGGTTTATTTTTTTCACTATAATTTATTTTATCTTTCACTTAAATTTCACTATAATATTACGCAAATGCGTAATATAATTTACATAAATGTTAATTGAAATATGTGCGTTTTTTTGCATAGGTGGAATCAGTAAACACGAAATGTTAAGGACATTTAATTGCGGAATTGGCGCCGTATTGATTTGTTCCGAAAAGGACAAGATCATAGTTTTGAATAAACTAAAGGATGAAAATCCTGTAGTTATTGGAAGCGTGAATGTATATTGCGGTAAGAAACTTTTTGCTATTAATGCAACAGAAGCTCATTAATTACCTTAATTTATACACTTGTTAACACAGACCAGGCTAAAATACAAGTCAAAAACTTTGAAAAAGTCCTCGAACTGGAAATGAAACAATATGTTCCCAACTTGGTTGCAACATTGAGCAAGCCTTTTAAGAGAGTAGCTGTTCTGATATCTGGCAGCGGAACAAATCTCCAATCGTTAATTAACGCCACTCAAGACTTGTCTCAGAACATTGGAGCAGAAATCGTCTTAGTAATTTCCAATAAGCCTGGTGTTGAAGGATTGAAACGTGCTGAAAAAGCTGGCATTAAAACAGTGGTAATTAGTATATATATGCCATGGGTATAGATAACTCTTCATAAATAAAAAAATTAAATATTGCAATGCCATATTCTTTTAATTTTTACTCGTTTAATTCGTAGGTAATCAAACATGGTGACTACCCAAATCGCGAGTCTTTCGATGCAGCCATGAATGTAGAACTTGACGCTGCTAAAGTAGAAATAGTATGTCTGGCTGGCTTCATGCGAATTCTTTCTGAGCAATTTGTAAAACATTGGAGAGGCGCTTTATTAAATATTCATCCTAGTCTCCTTCCATCTTTCAAAGGAGCAAACGCGCACAAGGATGTTTTAGCGGCACGTGTGCGCGTGTCGGGTTGTACTGTGCATTTTGTTGAGGTATGAGAGCAAAGAGATCAAATTCGCTTTTTATTTAGTTATTTTTTAATTGGACTAGATAAAAAGACAGTTCTAACTCATTGTTATTTGACGCTTTTGATGAATATCTTATTAGGTTGATATTGATTCGGGAGCTATTATTGAACAAGAAGCAGTACCTGTGTTTCCGGATGATACAGAAAAAGTTCTGCAAGAACGCGTGAAGACAGCGGAGCATCGAGCTTATCCTCGTGCTTTAAAGCATCTGGCGACTGGTCGTATAAAATTAAAAGAAGATGGTACCATCTGTTGGAATTAATTAGACAACACAAATATATTTGTATACCAAAGTTTTTAAATAATCATATTTTTTATATATTATTACTTTCTATTAATCCTATTATTTAATATATGTATATATATACAAATAATTTTACAATATTTATATCACATCCTGCTAAGTAATCTTTTTACTAAACAAATCGCTTATAAAACTAAACAAGTCCTGAGATATACTTGGGTTCGAACTTTTGTGACTGGTATCTGCATATTTTTTGATATTTTTAGGTGGTATTAATAATGTTTTCTTAGCAAGTTCATCTAATTTGATATGAAGCATTTGTTTTTGGAGTATGGGAACCAACAAATTGTATTTATCAATTTTATTATTTATCTGCTTTGTTGTGGTCTCAAATTTTTTCAAATTATTTTCCCACATTGATTCATCTTTTGGAGTTAATGGCAGCTCCCCTAAGTCATTACGTATTTCTGATAATCTCTTTTTCAATTCTTCAGTCTCTTCCCTGATTTCCTTCGACAGTTGTATCCATTCTGGAGTGAATCCATTGTCTATCAATATCTATAATTGCAAATCAGCACAAGCAAGTTAATTATGTTCAAGCTATCATCAAAATTAATGTTCTATGTTCCTACTATATACCTGATTTAACTTATGGGTTACAAAATCAACATAAGGATTTCTGACACTTGTAGTGTTCAACGGTTTTCCCATTCCAGGTAAATCATTGAATTCACCCTTGCTCATTGCTTCCTGAATTAAGTCCTCCACCAAACGATCCATACCGTAGCGAGTTTTAATATCCTTGGCTCTTTGTTTGTCCATACCAATTAATGTATTGCGTTCTTCGGCTTGCAATTTTTTCAATCTATGTTCCATTACATTGTCAGCTGCTTTCTGAGCTCTTTGTATTGTATGTAGTCGTTGTCTTTTGCTCGGTGTGTCAACTCCTACATCAAAGGTCAAATAATGACGATGCTGTGGTGCTGTGTGCTTAAAATTAAAAGCATAAATTGACATATACATATTTATGTATATATGAGAAAAAAGATAGTCATTTACCTTGATATCAAAGTTTTCCACTTCTGATGCTTTTTCATCTTTTCGAGAATTTCTAATTTTTCGAATTTCTCTGTAGGCACTTTCAATCTACTTTGAACAATTGCATGATAATAAAGAGAAAGAAATATTTTTTATTTATTTTAAAAATTATTATTCTTTTGTAACATTTACCTCGGAAAATCTAACAGCATCAGCTTCTGGCGCTCCACTATCCGGATGAAATCGTTTTGCTAAATGTACAAACGCCAATCTTAAAGTCTCATCCTCGCAATCTTCAGCTACACCAAGTATTTCATAAAACTTCTATACATACAAGATAAAGAGTATATTTTATTCTATAAGTTATTTTATCAATACAAATTATTTAAAGTGATATTATTAACAATTATAACATTTAATATATATTGCGCGTGTATACCTTTGATGTATGTTTGGAATTAAATTGATACTTGAATCTCTTGAACAAGATTGAATCAGCGAATGGTTTATACATCAAATAAGCTTCTGGCTTAGAGCACAATCGATTCAAAGTCAACATGATTTTTAAAATAAATTTTTGGTAATTATTCAATTTAGCAGCCCCACCTCAGATATCGATAAAATTATGCTCATTCGACGCGTTTTTGCACAAAACGAAAGAGTATAGCAGAGAAAAGTGTCGCTTTGCTCTACAAAGCGAGATATTAATAGTTAAAGTTGACGACTATTTAGGTTACAAAACCTATCATATCGACGAAATACAGCGACATGAATATGCTCTACAGCCACATGCGCATGCCCATGTGGCCACAGAGCATGCGCATGTCGCTGCATATATGGTGCATTACCAATTCGTCCCTGAACGGCCATTTTGAACGTCCATTTATATATAATTACTTCCGTCCGCTCGTTTAACACCAAATACTCTCTCTTGTTATTCTTTAGTCTTAGACTCTGAGTCTCTGAGAGTTGAGAGTCCAATAGTCCAATGGTGTCAGTCGGGTTTAAAATGTCAACGGCAAAATGAGATTATACTTTACTCTTATTGCGACAATTATTTGTTCTTTATGGAATCGAAACAAATGTTTAGTGCATGCTAGCGCAAACAGAAGCGCTGATCAATTGGAGTACAGACCCGAAGGTCCTCTAGTTATGTGTAAATTTTTGTAAGTCTTTAAGCAGTTAACTTTTGTTATATTTAATAATGTTAAATAAAACATGTACAATATAATCTTTTTAGACCTAAGGAATTTATAGAATGCGAGGACCCGATTGATCACAAAGGGAATAAGACTGCCAAGGAAGAGAGCCAAGGTTTTGGCTGTATCAAAGTATGATATATCCAAATTTTCTATTCTTTGTAATACACGTACATCGAATTGTATACATTTTTCTGATATATATACAACTCTATGTAAGATTATGATCTAAATTCTAGTTTGGAGGATCTTGGTATGAGCATGTGGAGAAAACTAAAGTATCTTGTACAGTGCTACCAGATATTGAATGTTACGGCTCAAGAACATTTCCCCGCGAAGGTGTACCATGCATAAAATACAGCGATCATTATTTCGCAACAACTCTTCTGTACAGCATTCTACTGGGCTTTCTCGGTATGGATCGATTTTGCCTTGGACAAACTGGAACAGCGGTAGGCAAATTATTGACACTAGGTGGTATGGGTGTATGGTGGATCGTTGATGTTATTTTGCTGGTAACAAACTCTTTACAACCAGAGGATGGTAGCAACTGGAACCCATATGTATAGCATTTCAAGACTAAGTCTTTTTTTGTACATATAATTTTTAGTTAATCATAAATTTGTAAATATTGTTGTAATTCACTGCTATGTCTATGTTGATATTGACTTCCTTTACATAAATCTAAGAATAAATGTTGATTTCTATTTATTTAAAAATAATTACTATATTTATAAATAACATTTACATATTAGGTTACACTAGCTTACATAACACATAAATGAGTAAATTATTTACAATTCATAATCGTCAGGATGATACAATTCGCTAAGCAATCTATATATGTAAGATGGTGCATTTCCACCCCTGAAAATGAAAATGAAAATGAAAATTTATTTTTCTTTTTTTGTTCGATTTGAAAATTGTATAAATTAATTTCATTCAACTTACGTGTTTGAAATAAATAATGTGACTAGATCTGGTGGAACATAATCAAATACAGGATTGTATGCGTGTATTTTCTCAAGTAACTGTGCATTGGCGCTGTCGATTACTCCTTGCATTGGTGAAACATGCTTGTTGAAGCCATTCTGATTGTATGAACAATGATAAAGAGGTGAGAGCTTGTAAAGTGGTAACAGAACCATAACTGGAACGGAATAATGCTTGGCGGCTTGCGCGACTGTGTGCGCTCCCGAGATTGCTCTGAGTCCACCGTTCGCCATGACGGTATGAGTGCCGATTATGACCTTGTTAACTCGCGACATCATTGCGAAGATTGCCACATCCGATATCAGTGTAGTCTTGATCTTCGCCTTGGCCAGATTCACGGCCATTTCGTGACCCTGTAATTATTTTATGTCGTTGCAAATTTTTTTTTACGATTCTCTCTTATTGAAGGAATATTAGAGTCAAGCGTATACCTACATTTAAAAATGGCCCGCCCTCGGCTACTATAACTTCGAAGGCTCTGCTACTGGCGGCCTTTTTGAAAAATTCCTCTACCAACTTCGACTTTCCAATGGTCATTATAATTTCGTTTGAATGTATGTGCTCTGAGGCTTGCTCTGTAATATTTTCTAAACTGCAAGCATATTAAAGTTTTTTACTTAATAGTACTTAATAAAAGAAAGATTATTGAAAATTTTATTTATATTAATTGGGAGCATCTTAATCTATATTAGATATATACACATATCAATATATTATCACAAATATCTCAATTTAATATTATTACAAACAAGAGAAGAATGTATTACAATCTTCTTTGTTTTTACTGACTCTTTTCAAACTGTTAAAGTATGCCACCTCTACAATGATAATTGTTTATAAAGCACAAAGCGAAAGAAACATTGGCATTATGGAAGAGAGACATCAACAACATTCAATACATTCCAATATTAACTTAAACTACGCCTTTTTTAAAAAATTGATAGATACAACTGTAACTCACCATGTTTCCAACTCAGTTTCAAATTCAACAATGTGCTCGAGGAGGGCAGATTTGAGAGAAGGCACTGATGTATTGAAGTCTATTTGTTGATCACTCTCTGCAGTAAGGATCTTATGCAAGGACTCCTGAGGGTCTGTTTCTTCTATCTTATTCTTTAATTCTGAAATATATTCTTCCCTAATAATCTGCAGCATTCTTCTTACCATATTTCCAATAGAAGCCTCAAGAGGAAGCGCCTCAATCAAATACTTTCCATTCAGTGTGACACTATCCATTAAATTTCTGTCAAAATTAAGTAAGATAAATCAGAGATTAATATGTATTCTGTAAGAAAGAAACTGATGGATGCCACTATAATTAATAATTGTAACATCAATTGTACATAAAGCTTTTTACTTTGCTATATTCCATTCTGTATTGTTGATAATTTCCTTCAGCACGGAAATGGTAGCCAATACGATGTTATACGTGCCCTTGATATCTCTGAAAAGGAAAAGTTCATTAGATGATTTTTCCTTGGAGGTTCGATGCGATTTCTCTTACCCATAGTGAATGCTGTTTATCAATTTCAGCACGCTTTCATCGATTTTTTTCGGCGTTACGTCAATCATTTTTATCACACACTTAAGTACTTGTCAAATATGTAATATCACAAAGATTATTAATTCAGAGAGAAAATTCGCTATTAGATTACACGTGGCTCATTCTATTAAATTTCTGTCAAAATCAAGTAAGCTGAAAATAAAAGATTAATATGTATTCTGTACATAAGAGAAGCTGACGTATCTATAATTAATCACTTTAATGATCGTTGCAACAGTTATATAAATTAACAATTGTACACGAATTCTTAATTTGTTATCACAATATAATTCTAACCGAATGAAATCAAAATGTGAGATTGAAGATTGCGTGAGATTTTATGCTGTTTACACACTCTCTCTCTCTCTCTCTCTTTCTCCCAGTACCTACAGATGCGTTCAAAAATCTTGGGATAAAATAGCGTGACCAATGACCATTTGATTGACCAATCAAGACAAAAAGAGCTGATTTCTTTGTCCTGATTGGTCAATTAAACGCTAGTCTAAACCTACGGATAGGTTTTTTGAACACACCTTATGTATGTATATATGTATGGAGAAATGATAAAAATAAGAGTAATATATGTATATGGCAATATATCTATCTTAATCAAAGCCTTTTATTTCGATTATATTATTTATTATATATATATATATATATATATTGTCGGACATCCTGTATATATATATACCATCGTTTGAGTGAGCTTCCTTTAGCGGAAAAACTTATTCACATTCACAGTCACAGCCATGACTTGCCCGCAGCTTATTTCCGATTACAGTACTCCAAAAATTAGTTGGTATCAAACAGATCTTACAGTCATCATTCGCATTCATTTAATTGATGTATCTAATTATTATGTTCGAGTCGAGGATGATCATTTGCTCTTTAGGTATATATTTATATATGCAATAAATAACAGAAAAATAGTAAGGTTAGGAATTTGTAAGATTAGGAAATTTATTACACCGAAGAAATATAATATGTATTGATATGTACAATATAATACAAATTTATTTTTATATAATTTATAAATAACATTATATGTGTATGTGTGTGTGTGCATATATATATATATTTCATTATTCCATCTTGAAAAACTCTTACAGTTTTTGAAAGTCTCTTTCAACGATTCACAATTATTTATAACAATTTTAATTATATTATTATTTTATGCATCAAGATCAAATTATATATAAAATTTTATTGATATTGGTAAGAGAGTAGGCATTCTGCACATTTACCAAAAAACTATATGACACATTGCTGAATGTTAAACTAATTTTATATCGCACATTGCAGTACAGAAATAAACAGTAAAAAATACCATCTCATCCTGTATTTGTTTGGAGCAGTAATATCGGAAAAGACGGTACACAAAAATGTTGGAAGGGAAATTAAAATCTACCTTACAAAAGCACTCAAATGTATACTGCTCAGAAATTTTTTATATTATAATTTTTTTTTTTTTTTTCATTGAAAACAGATTTATAAATATATTTTCATACTTCAATAGGGTATCCATGGTTAAGATTGATTATTTCCAGAGAAAAGAATCCATTTATATCATTCGACACAGATCATATACATGATACAGATAATGTTAGAAAGAGAAATATTTTTAAAGCTAGGGGTAACTATATTACGTTTTTCATGATATTTGGTCCTGTTATTCAAATGTACAGGGATAAATTATAAATTGTTTTTTTTTATTTTTCGGTTTTATATACATATTTTTTTCTTTTTTTCATAATAGAAAGTATTGAAGAGTATAAACGCCGAAATTTCATAGAACATATAATGCCGGTCGTACCGTCTAGCGATGAAGAAGACTCTGATGATGACCAGTTTGATTTCTTCCGATATGCTTAATAAGCATTTTCAATCTTTTTTCTTGTTGCATTTGCGACGTAAAGAAAAAAAAAGGATAATTAGGTTTGATAATCATTTTTTATAATGAAGTATTTCAGCTTTTTAGTATTAATCAAAATATATGTACAATATATTTTAGAAGGCTTCTAAATTCTTTAATAAGTTTTGAAGATTGTTTTATCTGTGAATTGGGAATAATTATTTGTCAATTTTCTCTCTCTTATTCCCCTCCCTCTTTTGTCAATTTTCAACACTTAATTTTGTGATATAATAAAATCATGTTTTGTACTGTTAATTGAACTATATGTTGTTACATATAGTTTAAAATAAATATATATATTTTTTATGTTATAAAAGCTTATTGAAATTGTTTTTATTTCCATGATTATACAAAACAAACATCTTTTGTTACAACAAATATATATATTTTAACAAATATCCTATTGTACAACATAATACATAATACAACATATAATATTTCTTTTCACATATACATTAAAAGTTTATCTACAAAATATATTTAGAAAGATATTTATTTGCAAAGTTGTATTGATATAAAAAATCAAGTGTAAAATTTATATATCATTCAAATACATTTCTTTCCTGTAAAAATAATTAAATGTATTTTAATCAAAATATCTTACTAAATCATAAATTTCAAAAATACTTATATGAAATATACATCTGATATAATTGATTACTTAATTACTATTGTGGAATGTTACTAAACTGACAAAAAACAATCTGCAATCGTTATTTAAACGATTATTCTTAATACATTTTACGAACTTTGGCAATGCATAGCTTGATTTTAAACCATACAATTATATGGTATATAATCTGTACTAATTTACATACAAATATTTTGATAATGGTAACTATTTTAACATAACAGCGCTAACGGAAATTGCGTTATCTGTGATAGTACCAGTATCTTATGTAACAAATAATTAGTAAAATATAAATTAAATAAAAACATTGGAAAAATTGGTTAATAAAATTTAAATGTATGTGTGTGATCTTTTTAGATTAACTGTAGAGAAACCTTAATCTTCTTATCTGCATAAGGAATAGTTGTATTATATGTGATTTCATTTAAATGCTTCTACAATTTATCACATGAATTATTATATACTGCAGTATGTTTAGACTTTATTAGAATAAAAATGACAATTCCCTGAACAATGCAAAAAATATCACAAAAATATCATTGTATAAACATTTTATAAATATGAATATCCCAAAATATATAAAAAAGAAACATACATCAAAATAAACAGTGAAGCTACATTGTTAACACAAATAACAAATAGTATTATATAATAATTTCAAGAAATGACAATACAATTTATAAAATGTCTACAAAAATTATATCATAATTTTATTAATAATGTCTACTTATAATTTGAAAATAAATGTCATATTTAATTGTGCGCATGATGAGCTAATTCTTTGAATATTATAAATAAAGGTTTGTTTTATAAATAAGACGTTCATTCATGTATAATCCATATTGAACATTACTATCCTTCTAGTTCGTAAAAATTGATATCAGAGACTACTAACACTTATGCAATTACTTTGTTAGTTACTTAATAAAATTTAATATACATATGTGAAATTTTTAATGAAATAGATGGCAACATAAGAGTGCGCAATATTTTTGCGCACAGCATTACTTCACAAGATAACTTCAAAAATAGGCTGTTTACGATAGTACTTACTCTTTGTGTAATTACTGACGGGTGCGGCAATGAAAATTAAAATGCAGTAATATATTGCACCATCTACAATCTTAATCAGATCGTGGGTTTAATTTCGTTAATGTTGTTAGCATTGTGACATTCTTCTTTACAATGTAGATTTTGAACCTTTGAGATACCATTTTCATTGCGTATACAAGCAACGCAATTTGCAATATATCAATTCCATTTAATATATTGCGCTAACAATTGTCTGTATACGTTTTATACGACTAGCAACCTTCTAACGACAATCTTTGATTTATATTGTCTACCCTTAGCTTCATTTCCCTAAGTATATCCGCGGCAAGATCGTCAACAGTGGTATAGCGTACCTTAAAGAAATTAAATATATCTACAAGAAACTCGATCACTTGATCCCTAAAGTAATGACAAGTGGAACGTAGACTGCCTTCGGAGCCTAAGAATCCCCAAGCGAGGACTGGTATGACATGCTCGGAGATCGCGTAAAAGTGCGCCAAGAAGCCTCGATCGTATTTCAACATCCTTCTTTTACCCGCGAGAGCGGACCAGACTGCCGTTCCTATCGCCTTTAAGAATAATTGATAATCATGTTGAAAATATCAGAGAATAGAAAAAATTAATATTCATATACTTACAGTTTCTCTAAAACTGGCAGACACCCATCTATTTTGAACTATAGCTCTAATAGGTGGTAATGGTTTCTCCACATCCTCGAATGCGTCTAAGAGTATAAAATCGATGAGAACATCATAGAAATTCATGCACTTGACACCTCGCGCGATCAATTCCTCTTCCATAATACTATGATTGCACGGCTCTCGCAAGAACTCCAACATACGCTCGTAATGCAGCAGATAATCTTTAGGTTCCTAATAGAAGTTTGTTTTCTTAATCAATTTCGAATAACAAATATTTTTTTTATATCTATACTTATTTACTTGGGTGGATAAATAATTTGTTCTCTTACTCTATCTGCATATATAATTAAATCGCTAATAACTTGGCGACCTATATCCGCCATAAATGCTGCTGCGGCGGGATGGTAACTATTTTAACATAACAGCGCTAACGGAAATTGCGTTATCTGTGATAGTACCAGTATCTTATGTAACAAATAATTAGTAAAATATAAATTAAATAAAAACATTGGAAAAATTGGTTAATAAAATTTAAATGTATGTGTGTGATCTTTTTAGATTAACTGTAGAGAAACCTTAATCTTCTTATCTGCATAAGGAATAGTTGTATTATATGTGATTTCATTTAAATGCTTCTACAATTTATCACATGAATTATTATATACTGCAGTATGTTTAGACTTTATTAGAATAAAAATGACAATTCCCTGAACAATGCAAAAAATATCACAAAAATATCATTGTATAAACATTTTATAAATATGAATATCCCAAAATATATAAAAAAGAAACATACATCAAAATAAACAGTGAAGCTACATTGTTAACACAAATAACAAATAGTATTATATAATAATTTCAAGAAATGACAATACAATTTATAAAATGTCTACAAAAATTATATCATAATTTTATTAATAATGTCTACTTATAATTTGAAAATAAATGTCATATTTAATTGTGCGCATGATGAGCTAATTCTTTGAATATTATAAATAAAGGTTTGTTTTATAAATAAGACGTTCATTCATGTATAATCCATATTGAACATTACTATCCTTCTAGTTCGTAAAAATTGATATCAGAGACTACTAACACTTATGCAATTACTTTGTTAGTTACTTAATAAAATTTAATATACATATGTGAAATTTTTAATGAAATAGATGGCAACATAAGAGTGCGCAATATTTTTGCGCACAGCATTACTTCACAAGATAACTTCAAAAATAGGCTGTTTACGATAGTACTTACTCTTTGTGTAATTACTGACGGGTGCGGCAATGAAAATTAAAATGCAGTAATATATTGCACCATCTACAATCTTAATCAGATCGTGGGTTTAATTTCGTTAATGTTGTTAGCATTGTGACATTCTTCTTTACAATGTAGATTTTGAACCTTTGAGATACCATTTTCATTGCGTATACAAGCAACGCAATTTGCAATATATCAATTCCATTTAATATATTGCGCTAACAATTGTCTGTATACGTTTTATACGACTAGCAACCTTCTAACGACAATCTTTGATTTATATTGTCTACCCTTAGCTTCATTTCCCTAAGTATATCCGCGGCAAGATCGTCAACAGTGGTATAGCGTACCTTAAAGAAATTAAATATATCTACAAGAAACTCGATCACTTGATCCCTAAAGTAATGACAAGTGGAACGTAGACTGCCTTCGGAGCCTAAGAATCCCCAAGCGAGGACTGGTATGACATGCTCGGAGATCGCGTAAAAGTGCGCCAAGAAGCCTCGATCGTATTTCAACATCCTTCTTTTACCCGCGAGAGCGGACCAGACTGCCGTTCCTATCGCCTTTAAGAATAATTGATAATCATGTTGAAAATATCAGAGAATAGAAAAAATTAATATTCATATACTTACAGTTTCTCTAAAACTGGCAGACACCCATCTATTTTGAACTATAGCTCTAATAGGTGGTAATGGTTTCTCCACATCCTCGAATGCGTCTAAGAGTATAAAATCGATGAGAACATCATAGAAATTCATGCACTTGACACCTCGCGCGATCAATTCCTCTTCCATAATACTATGATTGCACGGCTCTCGCAAGAACTCCAACATACGCTCGTAATGCAGCAGATAATCTTTAGGTTCCTAATAGAAGTTTGTTTTCTTAATCAATTTCGAATAACAAATATTTTTTTTATATCTATACTTATTTACTTGGGTGGATAAATAATTTGTTCTCTTACTCTATCTGCATATATAATTAAATCGCTAATAACTTGGCGACCTATATCCGCCATAAATGCTGCTGCGGCGGGTAAATTAAATAATTTTGTATAAGCCTGACGTAAGCAGTACACTTTTGCTAAATATTCTACGTCTGAGCCACATTTTACAAGTTCCGTGTGCAATCTCCTATAACAATATGAGAGAGTTACATATATGTGGCCATATGAAAAAGATGTACACTATACCGGTCATCAACGATGATTTACCTGCAAGGAATACCTTTGTCCTCGTATTGTTTAAGAGCAGCATGATACAGTTTTTGCTTCTCAAAGTGTGGGAAGAGTTCTGAGAACTCTTCAAATTCGCGCAAGTCCGCAACCTAAAATATTTTTATAATATTGTAGAAGAATTAATTTATTTTACTCCCTTTTAAATTAATATTAAAAGAAAATCGTACGAAGAATAGTTTATACTTATTATAAAATAGCTTGAAATTAAATGTTGTTATATATCTTCAAATTAATATCATCTCACAGATATTCGATATGTCGATCTCTGCACGTTACAAATAAATTGTATTTATTTGCACAACTTACCCCATCGCGTGCAGATTCAAACGATTCGGGCGATGATGCGGCATCGGCTTTATCCCTGATGCCAGACATCCGTGTCCCGATGTTCGAAGTTTTATTGAGACTTTCCTCGCTTTCATTGCGAAATAAAACGGAGTGCTACGAAAAAGAAAATAGATAAATAACGAGGAGAGATTATCGAAGGAAATGATAGAACTTCAATGATTTTATACATATACATATAATTACGATTAAAAAACGGTAAAAAATCAAATTGCTTTCGGAGAAAGTCATGCACTTCCTATGCCATTCCAACGTCCGCGACAATTCTCGACTGCCGCGGCGACAGGTCAAATGACTCGTTGCGTTAATTACCCCCGGGGGCGGTTATCATTTAAATTGGATTAATTCCCGCAGTTCTTTTTTTTCACTGGACCGGCAGAAAGGCAGAAATTGATGATGAATGCCAGCGGAATGGAACGGCATCGGCACGATGACCGCGAAGGACGGGCTCCCCGGACCGGAATCTCTCGCTGAGTCATCGAGTACGATTTCAGGCAATTCCCGCAGCCTCATCGGCAGATTAATGCAAAATAACGCCGTTACCTGATCGAGGAAGAGCAGTTCTGCGTGACTTTGAATTTGATAACCCATGTCGAGCAATTCCTGCACGTCGTGCGTGAAAGCCGCGTCGGCTTTCGACGGTAGAGCCAGGGTGTCGTTGCTTAGGGTCGAGCTAAACGCGGTGAGCGCGTCTTCCCAGCAGTAGAGCGCCTTTTCCAACGCCTCGAGTCCTATTAATGAACAGCATCAATTTATTTCAATAAAGAAAAGATCGGTATTTTCACTCGTAATAACAGGATAAAAATAATTTTAAAATTATATTATACATATATGTATGTATATGTATATATGTCCTCTTCAATTAGATATAATAATTTTAAAATATTTCAGAAATATAAGCGAAAGAGAGTTAAGTTTGGCTCAGTAGAAAATGCACATAACGAGTTATTAATTAACGTGTTATTGATAGCGAAGCTTAAGAGAGTTCACACCTGCATCAAATTACGTCAAACGTAGCTATACTATTTTATTTTATTATGTGTAAAAGTAAGATGTATAATTATTTCAATACATTTTTTAATTGCAAAAATTTGAGTTCTAATCAGCAGGGAAGAGAATATATAGTCTTTCCTCTATATAGTCTTTCCTCTATATTCTTCTTCCTCAATTTGCACAAATACATTACTTTTCTTTTTTAGGAAATTAACGGATTCGAGTAAGACTAATCTCGATACGGTCGACCGATACACAAATGATGACAAAAAGTGAAAGAAAAAAAAAAAAAGAGAACACGGTTTCGCTTGCAAGAATAAGGACAATGGGAATCACTTGAAGATGCAGGATTCGAATTCCGAGTCAGTGATGCCATTCTTTCTTTCTTCATTTCTCCCTTCCCTTTCTTTATTCAATCTTCTGTAAGTCGTCAGAGAGCGTTCACCAATTTGTCACAACGGAAGTCCGTGTGGAGCACATACCGCGCTAATTTAGGGAGTCTCCCGACTAATGTCCCGAGAAGGCGGACCCATCATCATTTTTAATCTGCGTCGTTTTATCACGGTCGATAATTATACAATATCGTTCAACGAAATCAGAACATCGCGAGAAGTCAATCTTGTATGACAATTAATCTTTTCGAAGCACGTTAATTAAATAAATGAGGTATACTAAATGAGAGTTACTTGATAAATTTTTACGATATCTCATGCTTTTTAATTTGGATGCTCTGATTAATAAAATAGCAATGCGATAAATATTATATCGATTCGATTGCGTGTGATTAAACATTATTCATTTTCTTGAATTATTTTCAATAATTTGAAGAGTTGAAAAATTTAAAAAGTTTTATACGTCAAAGTAAATGTCAAATGTCAAAGATCGTGTGAAATGGAAATGAGTTTATGAAATATAAATCTCGCATGCGGATATCAAACATACAGAAATTACATAATGCCGTTGAAAGGAAAAAGCGAGGTAGAGGCAAAACACAAGTTAAACACATTATTAATATATTCGAGCGAGCAGAATACTAAACCCTTTAATTTTTATTGATGTATATCTATAGCTTTAAAATTCGCGTTCAAGGAACGACGTGCGTAAGTCAAATGGATTCAAACCGACTTATATATACGCTCGTCGATACGCGGCCTCCGATCTTCGGAGAAATGGATGAGATATCGATTGGTCGACGCGACGCCGGTGACTCCTTGTCCGCAACAACGCTAATTTTGTCCCCGACTTCAATTCAAACCAGGGCGAGATATGCAACAGCGAAACGTGCCTCGATTGTGTTTGCGCGGCTCGGTTGAGACGAAGATCGCATTCCTGAAATTAAGCGAACGAGAAGATCAAAACACGGCAATGCGTGTTCCGCGTTAAAACTACCGTCTCTCAAAATAATTATCTTTGCAAGACCTCTTGAAAAGTTAAAACTAGAAACGAGAGGACAAAATTTATTCTTACAAGTGGCCCCTTTTTCTTATGTCATCTAGAGAAGCAATAAAATGTGTGCTAGATGTACGAGAAATTAAATTCTACACATTCGTGAAAATAATACATTCTTCCCCCCCTTCCCCTATACATCCCGAAGAAATTTATCTTTATGCCAAATCAGATTATAACTCAAAAGAATAATTTATTTCCGAAGCAATATGTATATACAGAGAATTAAGCGTGGCATAACTGCAAACATTTTGAAAGTACGAGATCTTTTACCAGGGCACCGGGTCAAGTCCCTCGGAAGGATTAAGCCTACCTACCGCGGCGATCCATCGGATCGGCATACCGGTGGCCGATCATTACGCAACCCCTTGGATAAGGGATGTCGTAAGACACGGAGGGATGCCTCCCCGGAGAAAACGCGGCAGTGCGACGCCGTTGCACACGTCCGGCGTCAATAATACCCCCCCAGAATGACGTAATCGCTGGGCCGGCCGGTCATTGGAGGATGCGTCATCCAATGGTGAGGGGTCGATACGACACGCGGTCCGCGGATTGCGCGCGCGTGCGCGTTGCTTTGAAGCTCGCGCGTTTTGCGCGCTAAATGTCATTTTTTATCTTTACCTTAAATGATGCATCCGTATCGGGAATCATGTCTGCTATTTTCATGTTATTTAAACAGCTATTTTTAACGCCGAAGCTACAATTGGGATTGCTTTGTAAATTCGAACAACAAATCGCGTTCGTCGATAAAGCGTGCGAAGGGGATAGCTCTAGAGAATTCTCAAGGGGACAATTGTGTCGGAATTGAACATTGGCTCGTATGTACATTCGCGGATGCATGTGTGACAACCCTGATTTTCATCCCGTATATCGAAATTAAGCCCGATGGATTAACTTCGCATTTACACTAGACGGATGTAATTCAAAATGATAAACGTCAAACGCGTTAAACGTCAAGCCATAAATACGGATAAAACTATTACTAACAATATCGTATCGTTATAATTATCACATATATATTTTTCACGGTTTGTCTCGCGCATATATTTTAATCTTTCACGGGAGAAAAATACAATCACAATCTCTCATTTTCCAGATTCGAATAAAAGATCGTAAAGTTGAAATTACGATGTGCGAATGCGCGCGCAGGCGAACGGTAGGGTGGGTCAATGGGAGCGCGACGAGGACAGAGCGAGCGTCCAATGAACGCGCAACAAGGACGAACAGACGGACGAGTGGGGGGAAGAGAGAAGAGAACTGGGAGAACTTCGCATTACGCGCTACGCGCTGGCGTTAGTCGTCAGTCAGTTACTCGGCTACGTTCGACGGCGTCGGTTCGTCATCTGTTGATCGCGCCTACAGCAAGTATTCCCGCCCGTTTACGACCGTTGACACTTCGTCGTTGAGAATTCATCGGCCGAAAGTAATATAAGATCGTTCACGATAACATGATCTTTTCGAGATAAGATAAAGCGAGAAATTTCGAGTGCTACCCCCCCTGCGATTTCGCTCTCGCGCGCGAATTATTTGGATTAAAGGCTTGTCGACGAGTACGCCGAAGACCCGGAATCACGGTGAGTGATAGAGAATCTCGATGATATTCCGAGATTTTTTTACGGAGATATATATATATATATACATGCATTGCTGGAAATATGTTTTATTTTCTCATTAAAAAAGACATATCCGAATCCGCGACAAATAGTATCTCTGATTGATATATGTACTTCGATACAACGCATTTTCGTCACGATGAGCGCCATTTAAAGATCCAAGAGAGTTCGATACGCGAGGCGTTACGTAGTATCCTCGGAAGGATTCACCCTTCCTCCCCCTCCTTGCTTTCCTTCTCGAACAGAGAAGGAAATCCTTCCCGCATCGGCTAGTACATTTCCGTCTGAAATTATTTTCTCTCGTAAATACCGCGATATTTCCTTCGTCCTGGGAGAAATACTATTACTAAATATACGCGAATCTTTTAAAGTTTCTTGATGCGCGCTGGTTCTCCCGTTTTTTGTAGTCTTCAGGGTGGTGGGATTCTGAAAATCGATATTTGATAAATTCACTCGAGGCGTTATGCACCTGCGACGTATTTCAGATACTTTGAAATATTCGACGCGATAAAGTTCTGTTGGAGAAGGAGAGAGTATCAAACTGTAAATAAAAAGATTACGTTATTTCCGGGTGTATCTCTCTAATAACTTTGTTCTCCGACATATTATCCTCTTTCGTCCCGCGACTACTCGAATAGATCAATAGAATCGATTTCGGCCTTACTATCCTCGACCGAACGAACAAAAAAAAAAAAAAAAAAAAGGGAAATCTTATTTTTCCCCTTAATATTTTTTTAAGGATGTGAAGAAGCTCTACCGCCTATTGCCCAAAGTAGTGGACATGTACGAAGTGCCGTGGCCCAAATTTAGTCACTCAGATTTTACATGGGCTAAAGATGCGCCCAGACTCGTGTACAAGAGAGTACTCAAGCTCATGAAGGAGAGGAATCTAAATAATACTACATCAAGAAAAAAAAAAAAAAAAAAAAAGGCGAATCTTATTGTTCCCCTTCGCGAGGGAACGCATCTATCGTGAGAGAGATCGAGAGTTCAACAATATTCAGCCTCGGGCGGTTGTTGGGAGGGGGAGGGAGCAACACCTGGGCGTATCTTGTTTATTGCGCAACACTTCACAACAAACAAGAATCCGTGTACGAGAACGAGATTTGGAATTTAGGCGAGAATACGAAGATCGTCATGATTACACGCGAAGAGAGAGAGAGAGATCGCTGTGAATTTTTGATTCAAGGTTATATACCATCCTTCGCGCCCGTTGCACGTATACAAAATATTTTTGTCAAAAACCCCATCCTGAGAATTTATCTCGCCGAGATTGGACTCGAACGCGAATTTCGTCGCGAGATTTAGGCTCGCGTTTCTATGGGGGTCAAGTTCAGGGGTCAATAGCTCGGTCGGGCGGCGGTGTGTACTCCAGGCGGTGAGCCTCGTGAACCTTTGAGGAAAAGTGAATGCCGCCGCGGCACTAAATGCAGCAACGGCCGATAGCCGGCCGCCACCACGAGAGCGCGATAGCCGGCAGATCGATGGAGGTGCCTGGTGAACTTGGAAATTCCCCTAGCACACGCGCACTTCCTCGTCGCTCTTTCTTCCTTCCTTCCTCTCTCCCCCCCTTCCCTTTGTCTCTTTCGTTTATACACGCCGCTTATATGATACACGCTCGAGTAAACGCGCGTACACGGCTGATTAAGAAACAGGTTATCATCGACACGCAAAATCCGCGTCAGATGATTCATCGAGTTGCTCCGAGGACGTTCAGGGCGTCCTGTCGGAAGAGATGATCTCGATAACGTGAGATGACGTCAGATTTTATTTAAAGCGAGAGTGGAAAATATTTTGATTTTATTACTGTCGATTTTTTTCTCAGCGTTTTATCCTTTTTTTTTTTTTCGTACGATAACACGCTTCACAATTTCGATCCCTTCGTGCTGAGATTACGAAAGCAAAATTGGATCTCGTTTGAAACGCGTGCGATCAGAAAGTTCCGATTATTCTTATCAATTTTTCTTCGGTACTTTTTGCTTTTACCCGGCAATTTTATATCAATCGGCTCCTTGGGAATAATATCTAAAGATAGCCGTCGTCCCCCAATTTTTTTTTTTTTTTTTTTTTGGTTCGCTCGGTATTGCGTGAAGGGGAAGAGGGTCGCTTTCCGTTGCGTGACCAAAGGTATATTGCGACAGGAATTATACGGATTAATATATACATCGCGAAGAGTTTCCGCGACAACAATTGGCGCGATTACGAAATTCCTAATATTATTGCATTAAAGCCAATTTAATCGGGATAGTGACGCGCGTGGTATCTTATAACACGTACAACGGATGCTGAGTAACGTTCTCCAAGGCGATGAGATGACCAAGTGATACTTCGACGCACGCAACTACGTGTAGCGACGTCCCGAAATCGTGTCGAAGGGGAAATAGGGGGCTGCCCTCGCACCTTCTAACGGAAAGCAAAAAAGAAAAGGTAAAAACGCTGGATTTTATTTCGCGTGCAAAATATTTCCGCGGGACAGTAATTGTAGATTGGATAATCGCTTTTCGCGGAACCAGCTGCAATTTTGCCTCCTTTCTGACTTTCGATTGACATTCACAGTATACGAATTATGAGATTTTAACTTTACATGTTAGGTCACGCAATCGCCGGCTACTTTTCTAATAAACGTCTACTTGTTTCATCTACTTTGTTTCCCGTATTATTACTCTGCCTTTATCATTATTGATTCTTTGTGGATTTAATTAAAATGCTGTACGCGTTTCGCCAACAACTTTCCTTCGCATTTAAGAAACTTGTAGAGATATGTTTAAAGAGTTATTTATCATCTAGGAATAAACCTTACATTTTAATTTTTTATCCCATTTTTTTTTTTTACACTCACTTTACGATTGCGTGTGTAATTTTGCTACTCGTCGAAGAACGATGACAGATGCATTACACGGTGCATTTACGCAACCGTGCGCTTTCAGTATAATTAATCGTAGGTAGCTGTAGGGTGTTGTAACCCGATTTTCAGGTTGAATGTAGAGAATTCGCGTAATGCAGCCTTTGCGTACAAAATATAATTTCGTGTGACCCGATTCGTCGTTTGATTTTCGCTTCGTGAATCTTCAATCAAGCCGTCAATAATAACATTATGTTATATATTACATTTAATACCACAGGCACTTAATTAAATTTAAGTGTGTAAATGAATATGAATCGATAATGACTAGTCCCATCAAGAGGAATATTAAATTTCCCGCAAACATAATATGATAATTACTTGACAATCGCATCCGCGGTCGGGCCGCTTACGCAACCTAAGATAAAATCTCTCGCAGAAAAAAATTTATGACTTCTTTTTTAATTCTTTTCTCGAATTTCCTTAGAATTTTTAGCGCCATTAATTCTTATTTTTAGCATCTCTTTTCATATCGTTGAATCTTGATATTTATGATAACTGTCAACAGTTGCTTGACAGTTGTTATCTTTGGTTCTTTCATGTATTATTGAAATTGTCCGTTTTCTCGTATATCTATATAGAATATTTTGCATCACGATATACAGAGAAATCTAAGTATAGTTATGGTGAAAAATGAAGAGTCGCGGAAGAGATCTGAACATGCACACACACACACACACACACGCAGGTGCCGTCATGTGTCTCTCACGGGGAGCGCGTAAAAAAAACTTTCTCGTCCAACGACGCGTCGATGGATGCAAATTGTCGGCGTAATGAGATACGCGATCACGTTGGATATTAGGTAATAGCGACGGAGCCCGCCCCCGTGGGTCGGAGGATGATTTCTCCCGACCCTGATGAGGCTAATAAAAGTGACATTATTATACGCCCCGGCCGCGTCGCAACGAGCCTTTAACCTACACCGACGACCGTTCGTTCTGATTTTCATAATCTGGTTCACATCGCGCATCTCTCGCACACACACACACACACACTCTCTCTCTCTCTGTCTTTCTCCCCTCTCCTCATCTCTCGTGTCAGATTGTCCTCTCTTCCTTCAACGACGCGACCAAGTACGAAGGACTCTGGAATCTATTCGCATTTTTTTCCATTCAACGCCGCCGGATAATCTAGGTGCCTTCACTAGGAGGATATTAATATTCCTCGTATCCTTGGAACGAGACAGTTTGCGAACAGCTTGTGTATACTCCAGCGACGCTAAACACAACTGTGAGTTGCGTTTGATAAAAATAAACATCACGTTCGATGATTCTCGAGATAAAAATCAATCACAAGTCGCGCTTAATTCATTATTATTTTTAGGACGTTTCTTTTCCTAAACAACTTTATTATTTTAGAATGACTATTCTGTTATCACTCTATAAATATGTCTCTTTATATGACATCATTCATTCGCGTTGTTCCTTTACACATAAAATTTTATGAAAAAATTTGTTACGTAATTATATATATATATATACAATATTATTATTTTGTACAGTGACAAATTTCCTATGATCTTATATCTCTGCATAATAATATTTACATTCTTATGTATCTTATATATTATTTTATATATGTTCAAAAAGAATATACTTGTAAAACATAATAAATATCATTTATAAAGATCTATACGCGATCGCGTGGAAGCAAAGGATAAAATCGTACATGTAATAAAGCTACTCTCTTTCTTCCTTGCCAGGACATCGGCTTGGTTGTAAAGTAAATTGATGGAGGTCATACTGAACTACGAAAGCCACGTCATCAACCATGAGAGAAGCCACCTCTCGGTAAATCTCGACTCGATGAATAAGCTCAGCGTGATACGAACTCGTGATTGTTCTTTTTTAAGCTCGGGAGAGGAAGGGGAGCGGCTCATTATTTTCTTTCATTAGTATTTACTCTGAGTCGAGTAACGGTCGCGGGAAACAGTAATAATGGATTTTTTTTTTTTACAGACGATCGGCCACGATCGGGAGATTATTACGGATAAACACGAGATCGATTTCTTGTTCGCGATACATTCGCGTAAGAGAGCCGTGGGATCGATTAATTAAATTCTCATCAAAAAGACACTATCCGAGACTCGTCAAAGAACACATGATTCGCTCGAAATCAATTGATTGGTTTTCGTCTCGAATTTCGCGTTCTCGATTTATTTGTCCCGATGAAACTCAGAGACGACCGTGTTTTGCATGCACTGTTTGTCTTATCTTCCGCAACTAGACTTCATCCGTCCGGTGAGAATGGATAGGAGAAGCAACGAGAGAATGGAGAGAAAATTATATTCTGCGACAATGGAACAATCGTTGTAATATCGCGACGATTACAGACGATCGGCCACGATCGGGAGATTATTACGGATAAACACGAGATCGATTTCTTGTTCGCGATACATTCGCGTAAGAGAGCCGTGGGATCGATTAATTAAATTCTCATCAAAAAGACACTATCCGAGACTCGTCAAAGAACACATGATTCGCTCGAAATCAATTGATTGGTTTTCGTCTCGAATTTCGCGTTCTCGATTTATTTGTCCCGATGAAACTCAGAGACGACCGTGTTTTGCATGCACTGTTTGTCTTATCTTCCGCAACTAGACTTCATCCGTCCGGTGAGAATGGATAGGAGAAGCAACGAGAGAATGGAGAGAAAATTATATTCTGCGACAATGGAACAATCGTTGTAATATCGCGACGATCACAAAGAGAGAGAGAGAGAGAAAGAGAGACTGCCAGACGCAGAGAATCGCGGTTAAGTTCCCGATGCCGCGCTATATCGCCTGGGGCAATCGAGCGACGGAAATGACTTTAACAATGGCGATGTAGAGACGGTCTCCGGTTGCATAGGTGCCCTTGACAGTGACAAATTGCGCGACGTCGTTTTCTTCCGCCCTCGTCTTATGATCTCGGAGGAGCAGCGATACCCGGGGTGGTAATGGTACCTTTTGCGCGTCAACGCGTCTGACGTATTTATCGATATATCGATTATTAACGTTTTAACCCTCTCTAACCCGCGAGTCTGCGATCTTTCTTGGCTTTGTGCCAAGGGAGAGAGGAAGAGAGAAATACCTCGTCTCGTACGCTTTGTTGCGCGTTCACCGTAGCTCGAGTTAATTAACTCGGAGATCCTCTCCGGGGACCGTTGCTCTACAATACTGGCCGGTGAAGGAAAATGAGAGATACCGCCGTTCTCGAGGTCAATGCAAAACGTTATCGATTTACCGTTCGGCCGAGCGCGCGCGATGGCCTTCGAGCGTGGAAACTGGTGAGAAAATTCATCGAGCGTTTTAATTCGAAACGATCGGCCAGTTCTCTCTCTCTCTCTCTCTCTTTCTATCGAGAAAGAGAGAGAAAGCGAGATCTGATTTCCGAGAGAGGGTTCTCCACGGTCAATTAAGCTTTTTACGTTTCGCGAGATATTTTTTCATCCGTCGTAGCATATGTTAGAAAGTACGGTTTCGTGAATTTATGGACGATGGTTCTTCGCGGTCGACTTCCCTCGCGAGATTTGAAGTGCACGGTCAACACGGATCCGCCCGGTTAGAGGGAAGTAACCATCCGCGGGGCACCATGACGTAAGACCGATAAGAGCCGAAGCTGAAACATCCACACGTTTTGTCCTCGTAGGTAACCGGAATCTGAACGGCTCGTATTTCACGTACTCTTGGCCGCTTGAAATGTCATTGTTACTGTTGTTGATACGGGAACGTGCGCGAACAAAAACTAATTTGCTTCTTCAAAAAAAAAAAAAAAATATATCGTCGGTCAACGAACGCATTAATTTGCTTATTTAATTATAATTGTAAATTATTATAATCTTTTTTTCTTGTCATAGATTATTATTAGATACTTGAAGTAAATATTCATGTTGAAGCATTAATATTATAAAAAGAAGAGGAAAATATATAATAAATAATCTTAATAAATTTTAAAGAGAAAGCTTGAGATGAAAAAGATTGTGCTAACGAGATAATATTTACGCCGTTCAACCTATAAATTAGTAGTTTCTTATACATCTCTCCCTGTTATCGAAAGCAAGAGATATTTCGAATGCGTGATCCAAGTGAAATATTTGGTACGAGAAGTAGGAACCAAGCGTGAAAACCGAGAGAGATACTCGTGTTTCTCCTCTTTCGGACTATTCGGTGAAAGTAGATGCTCGAGAGGCCCACCTCTCCAAATCACGGTGATGCAATGTCACACGCAGCATCCGAGAGAGCTTTTCTTCCGCATTCCCGCCTCTTTTTCAGGCCGCTTTTCATTACGCCACACTTGAAACCGAGTCAACTAGAGCGGAGGGAGGGAGAAGAAGAGCTTTTGTTCCTTTGTGCACGCGCTTGCGAGCGACTTCTTCTTGTGAAAGAAAAGTGTGTAGACGACAATGTGTCTCCTCTGCTTTGCGGCGTCTCAGCTTCACAAAGTCGTCACAATTTATTTCTTTGTTGTTGTTGTTGTTGTTGTTGTCGTCGTTATCGAGGGGGAGTGCAGGATTTCTTTCTTTTCTCTCTTCCTCTTCGCCCACA